AGGTTGGAATGTCCATGTGTAGTTCCACAAAGTGCAGTCAGAAACAGTGCCACCTGGCTTTTATTTTCAGTGTTCAGGGGATCATGTTATGCTTCCAGGTACAGTGGTGCTACTCATGGGTTAAAGGAAAATTTATTTTTACTTAAGGCAGCAAAGGACAACCAAGCCATTTGATCATCTTGATTTCTCAAAGACGTATCACAAGGAAGTAATTTCACTCAGGGTGGTGACGCACTGGAACAGGTTGCTCAAGGAGGCTGTGGATGCCCCATCCCTGGAGGCATTCAAGGCCAGGCTGGATGTGGCTCTGGGCAGCCTGGTCTGGTGGTTGGTGACCCTGCACATAGCAGAGGGGTTGGAACTGGATGATTCTTGTGGTCCTTTTCAACCCAGGCCATTCTATGATTCTATGAAGTGAAATAGTTCCAACTTAATAGCTAAGCTCCTAGAAAGTCATTTCCCTTGTGGCATGTTTTCTGTGTAGGTCAAACTTAAGACCCCACTGGTAAGTGACTCAATTGTTCTTCAAATGCATTTATAAGGAAATATATTGAAAATAGATTGGCTTTTTTTTTTATTATTTGAAAGCCACCCTGTTTATTGTCTATATTTTAAAAGAAGATCCTTCTACTGTTCATGCATTTTGATGTTCAGAAAGCAAACAGTAATTAAAGACAGTGAGTTTGAGATAATTAAGGCTGATAGAATTGTTCTCTTGTGATATGTGATTTGCAAACTTTCCTTTATCAGAGACACTTTGAACAACTCACTTCAATGACAGCCCCTCTACTCCATGTCCAGCCAGAAATCAGTGCTGGTTTGTTACTAAGTAGCTGCCATCAGCTGGACTAATTCCATTCATTATTTCATGCAGGCCACTTTAGAGCATTCAGATGGCTGTAGCTTTTGGTCACTGGCTTGGGCCCAGCATGAATTCTCACAAACTGCTGCAGGCATGGAGAAATAGCAGAAGCACACTCACAAAGCCTCTGCTGTTCCTCTGCATCAAATGACAAATGTACTGCACCAGGAAAGCAGGAGTGGAACTACCTGGGGTGAGGAGAACACTGATGTGCATAGCTGGTGGCACTGAGTTCTGAAACAGGACGTCTCAGGGAGTATCAGACCATGGTATGAGCAAGGACTATGTGTGTAGCTCCTGGATACCGTGTGCAGGTTTGGGATAGGGCCTGAAATACAAGTCCTGCATGACCAGCAAGACTGAGGTGCCAGGCAGAGGCATGCTCGTGCTACAGAGGGGCTGTGGGATGCAGTCCCTTTCCATCTCAGCTCCATCCCAAGCTCTGGGGCACAGGGGCTGGGGTCCAGCAGGGCCCCGCGGGCTGAGGTGGATGTTTGGGATTTCCTGGGGAAGAAGCTGGAGCTGCATCATAAGTGTTGATGCAGCCCCAACTCGGCTCACCTTCTGGGGGGGGAGGACATGGAGGAGATGGGCACATCCTGCAAGCTGCTTTTTGGTCCCTATGCCACGCCTTTTCCTTAGAGCTGGCTCGTGTCCTGCCTGCATTGCCTCCAAGTAAATGCTACACCCTCTGTGGGACTGTCAAAGGGAAGGAAGGCTGGGGGGAGCGCGAAAGGAATGGCAAAGGCTGGATGGCATCCTCCTGGGCTGTTGTGCATCTCCAGGATACAGGGATGTGCCAGGAGACCTTCTCATTACTTGGCAAATCACTGGTTTATTGTTACACTTTCCAGATAAATTGTATTCCCTCATCAATCCTAGACAGAAGTCTGTATATTACAGCACCTCTCTGGATAATGCCAGACGTCATTGGCCAACGTCAGCCAGCGAAAGAAATGCTTGCTGCTGAGTTAAGGCTGCAGTGCCCTGCATGTGCTCAGCCTGGTTGCTGTAAGAAGTTCTCAAACGTGCCTCCTCCAAGTGGGCGATTCATGATCCTGGAAAAGAAATCCAAAACCTGAGCAGCAATAAGGCCTGCAGGATTGTTTGTGAGATGGCTGGTGCTTGTAGGAGTGCGCTCTTTGTTCCAAGAGGCAAGTTCTTTGCTATTTGGAAAGCGTAAATATATATTTTAAATTCATGAAAGCACAGAAAACAAGTACACACTGATGGGAAGTGCAGCATGCTTTACTTATACAGCAGCATACAATTTCCAAAGGTCACTGAAGATCCAAGTAGTTCCTAAATAGCTTTTTGCAACCCCATCTGTAATTTTTGTACTGATTTCATGGGACAGCAACTTGTGAAAAGATGAAGAAAGTATCTGTAAATACTTCCACTTAAAATTCATAATTCCTGTGAAACTCTTGAGAACTGTTTTTTTTTTTTTAAAAATGGAAATATTAAATATTTCTTTCAAACATTGTAATTTCTTCATAGAGGATGCTGAATTCAATCAGAAGGCCAATACCTTGAAGGCAAATACCTCAGTAACTTACACAGAAATACCTGAAATGCTGGACAATGTTCTCTCTCCAAAAAACATCTTTCTTGGTGAATCTGAATGCTCATGACATTTTAAACAAAGAAAATAAACCACACAAAGGCTCACGTACTCAATGCAATATGCCATCTGCTGTTATAGACACATTGTGCAAAGAGGGTTCTCTGAAGAAAAAGCCATTAGGATTCATCAGATCCCTCATAGGCAAATGTGACAGTAACATGCCCGAACTGGATTACACTGCAGTTTTAGAGGTGTGTATCTATTACTTGGCACATCACAAGATGAGCAAACATTTCAAATGGCAGTTATGGAGTCAGTAGGGGTTACTGCAGATCTGATTTTCAATGCAGCATCAGCCACAGTGATTTTAGGATGTTAGGTGATCAAAAGTGAAAAGTAACAATGGCAGCAAAGTTCCAACAAGCTCCCTTGGGAACTGTATTTCTTATGTCAGTTGTGGCTTACGTGTATAGAGAGGTTTTTGTTCACATTGTAAAAAAATCTGTGCATAGCATGTGTGGGAAGGTTTTGTTCTTTTCCCAGTGAGCTGACAGAAAACTGAAAACACTGGTTGGTTGTTTGGTTCGTTGCCTCCTAGCACATTGGTGGGGATTTGTCCTTTTGCTTTGCATTCAAAGGGATGACAAGCTATCAAACCCCACTTGACAGAATGAGATTTCAGAGAAGCTGGACAAAGGTTTGCCTCCAATGAGCAGCAGCACATTGGCATCGCTGCTAACTTCATCTCCTGCAGCTGCATGCTGACAGTTGGTTCCCTCCTCTTGTTCCACAAGCGCAGCAGCAGCAAAAGTCTCTTTTTCAGAAGAGAGAAACAGAGGAGCAGACCTGTCCTTTGTCAAAATGCTTGTTGCTCTCTTTGGGTCTACTTCCACCTCTGAAGAGGTTTGAAATGCACAAAAGCCCACTGGCTCCAGAGGGAAGCTAAAGGTTTTCATTTCAATGGCACCACTGTCCTCGTTGCTGAACGCTCGGTATGCAGGCTGCTGGCGGAAGTAGCTGCAGAAGTGGGAGTGCTTTGGGATGGTCACCAGCTGGTGGTGCACCTTCTTACTCTTCCAGTGACTGGAGAATGTATTAGTGAAATCTGAGGTAGTTTGAAAGCCAACGCCAATTCCTAGCATGCAGTGATATGTTTTAGGAGAAAAGTTTGCCTTCATAATGTCACTTAGCTTCTTCCATGTCTGCGTATGGAAATGGTACTTCCAGAAGTCTTCATTAGGACTGGAGTTGGAAATCCCTCCACCAAAAACCAGCATTGAATCTTTGAAGACTACTGAAGCATGACCTACTGCTGGAGGAGGTCCTTGGCTAAATATAAGAAAAAACAGCAATTATGGGGAGACCAACAAGAATCTAACGATGACTTTAGCCTCTATTTTTCTTTTGACTCAAGAGAATGACCACTGAACAGCTGCAATGGGGCATCAAAACGATATTGCTGACAGCTGCACCAACGTGCTGCCAACAGCTCTCCCCAGCAAAGCCAACTGGAGCCTCAGGGATGGCAGTGGTACCAGATCTTAATCTGACTAATTCCTATCTTCCCTGAAAGGGAAACATTTTCTTCTCTGCTTGCATGCAGTATCATATGGTAAGATTAATTCTCTTTCTGTGTCAATATAGTTTAACAAAAAATATTCTGTACCTTGCTCTGATGTTATGCCAGCTGCTGTTTCCAAAGTCCCACTTCCATAAATCTTTCTGTTCACTCAGCCCCACCAGTCCTCCAAAGAGGTACATGGCTGTACGATAAACTACTGCAGAATGACCGTGCCGAGGTCCTGGGCCAGTGTTGTGAGATAGGTTGGAAACATATAACCATTTTCTTGTATCTGAAAAGAGAGTATTAATTCATAAATTTACCAGTTTTATCCTGATATTTGAGAATGGGTTTATTTCAATAACAAAGAAACTACTTTATTGGAGAACATGGATGTTCTGCTCTAACCTTTCTAAGGTAGAAGTTAACAGTTTAATTTCTGACACTGAAAAAGTGCATAAACTTATAATGAAAATATCACATGCTGTATGGCAGATGCCATGGAGATTTTATTTACAGAGCAGTTTTTTCTTCAGCTTAGGTAATTTGTTAGCTCTGTCATGGAAAGATAATTTCCTACGTAGAAGAAGGAAAATCAATCAACTAAAACATTCTTTCATTAATGTCTCTGTTCATTCTTCCTGAGAGGGAATGAAGGATAAGATTCATTTCAACACAGCTCCTGAATGGCCATCAGATAACAAAAGCTTTCCATTTTAGAAAGTCTCTGGGAATCGTCGGGTTTGCAGCCACCAGACTGATGATGAATATGCCAATGAAACCATCTCCTGCCAGGTTGAGCTCTCTGTGGTCTGTTCTAGACTTGAGATTCTGAAGATGGCATCAGTAGGCCGAAGTCATGGAAGGTCTCTGCTGCAACTGGAAGTTTTTGGTAAACCTTGAAGAATTTAGTGAATAGAACCATCTTCCCTGATTTCTCAGTTCTAAAACTGGCAAATACTGCAGAACTTCCTCCAATATAATTCAGTCCAACTCATTTCAGCTGGGGATTAGTTTAATTGACAGAATTCGTAATTAAATGCTGCTGAATAGAAGCCAAATCTAACTTGCAACATTACTGCTGATAGGAATTTTCTTCACAGAGTAAGCCATGCTATTCCACAGCAGTCATCATTTTTCACTGATTGCACTGGATCAAAAGGTATCAAACTTTTAAACTTACCAAAATGGAAAGTCCAAAATTCCTGTGAAATGCCTCTGATGCCAACATATCCCCCATAGATGTACATGCTGGCACGGTACACTACTGCACTGTGGCCTTTTCTGTTAGTAGGTGCCAAACTCTGAAATAGTTTAGTAATAAAACAAAAAGAAACGTTAACAGACAGAGTCATATCAATCTGCCTTGGGAATATTTCCAAGTAATGAAAACCACTGCTTTGGGTTGTGTTAAAATTCTTTGAAAATACAGAATAAACCCACAACTGAAGCAACCCCATGAGTCGTTCTTTATGCACACTGATATAAAACCAATCCATTAGACCATTACCTCAATGCTTACACTGAGGTTTCATTTAAAAGCAGCAATATCTCAAGGAGTCAATGTGCTCAGACTACAGAAATAAAAAATGCTGCAGCACTTCACATTTCAAAATGTATTAGTGTGACTACCCATCTGTTTTCAGACCCGTTTTAAAAGCATTCATGCTAGCAATGTATCATTTAAAATTGGTTTTCTTTATAAGGATTTTAGAAAAAGTGGTAGAGGGCTTAAAATTTCAGTGCTATATAGAAAGTTAAGAGCAGCAATTTTAAAGAAGGAAAAAGCCTTAATTATTGCAAGTGCAAAGAAATAAAGTGTAGCCACATGTCTCTGAAGAGATTAGTTTGGAACTGTTTGGGGGAACATATTTCAAAGCAATCTGTTTAATCAACAAAGCAACAGGCATTTGATTCACACATTCACCACTTCCTGGCTCCTTACCTCCATCTCTGCTGGTACGTCGTGGCCCTCTGTCCATCTTGCAGAATCTGGGGGATTATTTTAATAAAGCGCAGTTTATATCACAGACCACAAGAGGACACTCCTCCAACATCAGTGCTTCAAATTACAAATCTAATTTTCAAGTGAATTTCATCTTGGTGTTTTTCACTGACAAGGATGAGGAAATCTGCTTCCCCTAACACAGCAGTGCTGGGGAGCTGACAGTTTGATAGCTTTCCTGTATCCTTATCTGCTATCAAAGCACCGAGATGCCATATTGGATTTTCTGTTTCCTGAAGCTAAATTTTACAATGCAAAAAATAACTGTGATTTTCTGGACTTGAAGAATCTCCATGTTTTCCAGTGAAAGTATGGCTCCTGTTATTTATTATGTAGACCTTAGAACCACAGCCTTATTTCTCATTCCTTTTCAGAGATCGCTTAAAAACAGTCCTTGGATAGCAGTCAAAGACCACTGATCTGAAGGACCAGAGGTACCAGATACTCAGCTTCCGGTAAGAATAAGGAAGAATTACAAGTCCATGTTATTAAAAGCTATACTTGCAAGGAAACACTGAAATAATGAGCACAAAAAAAAAGGCACAAAACTTCTGAATAACTCATTCACAATTTTCACTGCTAAGTACTGTGAGTAACAAGATACTTTCTCCTATTAAATGTATGGTACACAGAAGCTTCTACCTGAGAATCTCTGCTGTTTTTCCATGTTGGAAAATAAAGGCTAAAACAAACCCACTGACTTAAGGTTACGTAGTGAAGTAGCAAAGAGGCCACAATGAGATCAAATAGAAAATATGGGGCAGGGAGGAGGAATGAAAAAAGAGACATGAAAATACATTAAGTTTTCCTAAATAATAATACTAATAACCTTGTGATCAAAGGAAAAGCTGATTCCTTTGAAAGCTTAACAGCCTGATTTCAGAGGAAAACTATGTCCTCAGTTTTACGCACTTTTGTTCTTGTAAAACCTAGGGAAGGTTTGTTACAAGCAGCAGAAAGCAGCTTGGTTCTTACTATTTATTAGCACCTATGGTTTTGGAATGTCCCAAGGAAGAGACTGGCTATTGTGTATCATACCTGTGTCATATATCCAGAGAGGGGTTTTTGCTTGCGTAAAAGCAGAATCCACCATTCCACCAAAAATATACAGGGCGCCCTGCAAAATGGAAAAATATTTGCCATGTACAAGTAGGCACATAGCATGAAAATGATTGCAAAAATAATTTTGAAATTAAAAGGCTGACAGCATCAAAATATAATTAACAATAATGCATAGGATAACTTATTAAGAATTCTTGAGGCAACTGCAAGCCACCAACTTTTAGCCATGTTTTTATCCTCCCCAGTAGGAAACTCAGCTGAACATCGTGATGTTTGAACAGGGACAGCATTCCAGAAGCACACACTTCCTCATCATGTGGGAAAACCTGGAGCTCTCTGAGACATTGCTCAGGTAATAATACTAGGTTTCGTGTAATTGTAGGAGGATTGCATTGCACTGCAGCTCCTGATATCCTAAATTCTGATTCCCCTTCACAAGTAAAGCTGTAATTCTTATTTGTCTTCACTCCCCCGTTCCTTTTCTATGCTAGTTCCTAAATGAATGTTTTCATGCTGTTGCTTATCATGCAAATGAATTCAGAGCAACTGTTACAACTGTACAGCTAAGTCAAAGAATGTGCTGCCAAGGTCTGTATTTTGTATTACTATTATGTTAAGTGAGTGTTAAGTGAGGAAATCAGGGAGCTGCACATGGCTGCTAAGCTGAAATTCTGGTACTTGATACGGAAACAATCCAGAACTATGTACAGCTACATCCAGAATGGCACTGACATAGAGTCTAGTATTCCAGTACATAATAATAGATGGCATTTTATTTTACTGTACATTAGGAAAATAAATGTTAGGATATGAACAACGTAAATTTTTCTTTGCTACCTTATAAGCCACCATTGAATGTTCTTCCAGTTCTTCTGGTCCATCTCCTGAGCACTCCAGCATTTCCCATTCATTCCTCGCTATAAACCAAAGCTCAGGTTAAGACAGAGATGAACCCAACATTTAGACAAAAAGAAAAAAGTGAAAGGATCAGCTCTGGATGTGGCTGCACACCCAGAGTCAAAGAGGCATGAAGGTTAAGAAGCACTTCCTCATTTTCCTGCTTTGCTATTGAGACGAGTGAAAAACTGCTGCTCTGATGCAGGCCATCTTAAAATAAAGCCTTGGGTCATCTTTCCCTGTTAGTTCAGAAGGCTGAGGCACCTCCCCCACAATTCCACAAGTAAGTACATTTTTCTATATAGCAAATATATGCAGAATGGCAGTTTGTTTTTTATTTTAATGCTATACAGGATTTAGCTACACCAAAACCCAGCTATTCCATGAATACAGTTCTGAGTTTTATCTACTAACAACAATTGAACAGGAAACACTATACATTAAATCTCAGAAAATGTCATATTTGATGGTGCATTACTAATGCAGTCTTACAAGGTATTGTATTCATGCACTCCTTTTGTGCACTCTTCCATGAATAAACTATTCCCATGTTAAAGATTCAATAAATCTCTGTCACATCCTTAGCTAGAAATAGGACGTTGTAAATGAATCAGTATTTTTGGCCAAACAAAAGAGCTCAAATCTAAGCTTTCTGGGACACCTACAACAGGAACAATCCCACCATTTGCCCAATGATCATAATGTAGTTCATGCATCCTTTGATCTCTGAAAACATTTACAAAGCTTAGGTAGCTGCTTGAGGTAGAACATTATTTTGATAGAGACCAGAGAAGCTGTCAGCTCTGGAGTGTCCCCTGTTTCAGGATGACTGGATACATTTTTCTCTTTTATCTTGACCAATAAGTGAAGGGGCAAACTTACCTATATTGTATCGCCAAAAATCTCTGAGACTGGCGGTGTTTCGCCCTCCATAGAGATAAACAAATCCTCTGCAGACAACACAGGCGTGTTTGTATCGATCGCAGGGAGAGGCCTTCCTCTGGGCTGCACATTTCCAGTCACAGTGTGCAGCTTGTCCTTTCATGCTGACAAGTAGGATCCTATCCAAGTATCAACTGCAAAGAATGCCAGGGGAGGGTCCCACAGCATCACAGACAGGGGTTAGACCCTCTTTGGTCTGTAAAAAGACAAATATATATATATAAATTAAGAAAAAAAAAAAAAAAAAAACTAGATATAAAAATAAGATGATGGGAGGGAAAAAAAAGCTTCTGCTTTACGATAAAAGATTCCAACATTTTCTTTTCATTCCCATCAATCACAACCTGATCATTTTGGCTGTCTATGATAACCAGAGAAAAGCATGTGCAGTGCTGTTTCAGAGCCTTATATCAGCTAGCCTGGGACAGCCGTGTTCTTGGAGCTGTTTTCCAAACCATGTTGGTGAGCAGAAGCCACAAACTACAATGTTCTGCACCTGCAGTAGGTAGAAACCAAGGTTCTGTTTGTTTTCTCTGTGAGTTCCAGGTAAGCTGTACTTGAAAAAAAATTGGGAAAGAGCAAATACACAGATAAAAATAATTTATTAGCACTTGTCCAGATTTTTCTTGACTTTCATCCCTGAAACAGCTGAAATTAGGATCTGGGGAAAAAAAGGCACTATCCCTTAATTTGCCACAAGATGTCACTATGCTCTGTGAAGATGGGAACACCAGGACTATAACTCATCTCTCAGCCCCTTCAAAATGTACCATGCCCAGTGTTTTAAAGTACATTTTCCTATGAAGCATTACAGATCAACACTAGATCAAATTCTGGGATTTGTGTCGGTGACATCACCAAATGAGATTACAAGGACTCCCTATTTCAAGGCTGTTTCAATGAGAGCTGGATTCTCCCCTTTGGGATCCAGGACTGGAAAAGGACAGATAAGGATCTGTTGGTACAGACACACCCTGTGCATAGCATCCCTGTGCATAAACTCTAAGCTCAGTGTAATGAATGTGCAGTAATCCATTCTTTTGATTTTAGACTAGTTGCAAGGGAAATGCAATGAACCTAAAGCTACTTAGCCCAATTATTTCTAATAATAATAATTAAAAAAAGCATACCAAATTTGTCCCAGATGTACAACAATAAATCCATTTACATCCACAGAGAAAAGTTATTGCTTCTGCTGCGCACAGCCTTCCTGCATACAGAAGAAGTCACAATGGAGAGTTTCCTCTGGGAGAGCAGCAAAGCTCTGACAACACCCTCTAGTCATATCAGAGCAAAAATGTAAGCAGGTGCTTGGGGTGCTGGGTCTTCAGATTGTGTGTGTGCTGAGTGTGGCTGCTGTGTGGTGCTCAAAGGCTCTTCTCTTTGGGGAGAGGCCTTGAATTAAAACTTGTTTTCCAGGTTAATTCACCAGGAAATGGCAAAAAAAGCAGAAATGCTTCTTGTCTGATCAGAAACCACACCTGGGTACAGTTTCCTGCAAACGGTAATTTAAACTTTCTTTTGGCCTTCTTCTTCCCTTCTTATGGGAGCATTTTGTTTCCAAGAATTTTCAGTCTTCTGCCTCTATTCCCACACACCTTGTTTCAGGAGGTACTTACACAAAGGAGCACAAATGCATATCCCTTCTTCAAATGCTTTCTCCTACGCTCAAAGGTTCTCTTGTTTTCCAAAGCCTGAAGTTCTTGAAAACTGATCCCGGCAAAGTTAGTTGTGCCTCTCTCAGTTGAGTCCTTTGTCAAAAGCAAGCTCCCGTTTAAAACAGCAGCAGCCTCCTGTGCTCGCAGAAGAGGCCAGCGTGGTACCTGCTGAGCTGCCTCCTTAAAATGGGATTGAGTCCATCAGGGTGCGCTGAGCTCAGCTGTCCCCAGGCAGTGCAGGGGAGCACTTTCTGCAGCACGCATATTATCCCAGGTCCTTCAGTTTTCCTACAGCCCAGCATCCCTCTGATGCCACTGACTGCTCCTCAGAGATATCTGTAGCAAGTTTAAGCTGTTTGTACTTTATAAAGCCTGTGTCTGAACTGTTACTTTGACTCCTGAAACCGCAATGCTAAAATTAGACAGCATGTTACAAGTGAGAAGCTTCAGGAATTAATTATTCCATTTGCAAAAACTGTATCTTCACTGCTGATGAAATTTGCACTTAACAATCCCAGTGTCAGTGACAGGAAGGTGCACGGGTCCCTGCAGGACAGGCTGTACGTAATCAGAGGAAAAGAAAGATTACGGTAAAACAAGCTACGGAAAACAGCTACAGCGTATTAATAAGGAATGCATCTAATCCTATCTAATTTTGTTTCATTTATTATAAAGTTTAGCTCTAAGATTTACCACTTGTAAGACTGGGATAGATTCAGTGACAAAAACATTGCAAGACAATCCCTTGCAGCCATTCTGTTAAGGCGAGCTATTCAAATTGAGCTAAATTCATTTTATGACATTAAATTTTTTTTTTTCTTTTAGCATTTTATCTGAAAGAAGACAAGATTGGCAGCATTTACAATGGTGTGTGTCTCTTTATTTTTTTCCCCAGGCAAATTAGCAGTTGTGAATCAATGATGCATTATATGTGCCTAAGTCCACAATGCTTTATGGCATGCCACTGAAAAGGGAAAAGGCTGAAGCCATGAAATACAGCTCCTCTCTGACTCGACCAAACCTATGTAGCCATACCCAGTTAATCTGTTTTTCAGCTACTTCCAGAGAAATGGGGACAAAGACACCTCAGTGGTAAAGCACTGTAAGTTTGCTGATGTGTTACTGTTACTTCTGATATAATTTAATAGGAAAGAAAAAGATGATAGGTCTCTGCTGTTAATACTTAACAAAGGTAAAAAGGGCTTGTCCCCTTGACTTTTATTTGTTCCCAGTTAAAACTGGTTATTCCTCTTCCTAAATATTTCTCACTATTACACAAACCTTGACTCCCCTTATATAAACATCCACAGAAGATGCTCCTGATTTCATACAGTAGATCAGCAACAAAATGCAATCCATGTGTTTGCCAACCCTGACTGAACTCCATGTAGGGCAGGCGAGCAGGACACAGGACAGAAGGCCAACCTGGCTTTAGGGGTCTCCTCCTATTCACATTTGAATGGGAGGAGACCCCTAAAGGTCTCCTGAGCATCAGCATAGAGCACATGGACGCAGACCCGCAATCACTAAACACAGCAATTAACAAATTGTTTCATTCCACAATTTGGATATGTTAACCAGCTCAAATCTTACCCTTCATCAATGGTATCTTTAATTATAAACTTGACTCCTAGATTGCCTTTGTAAAGAGCCAGACTCATAAAGTTCACCAACTGCCCCCGTTACAAGTCCTGCTTCCAGAGCAAATCTGCTACTCTTTTGAAACTAATGCCACTGAGCTGCACTCTGTGCTTCAACTTTGGAAAAGCAAGATTAATTATCCAATAGGAAGCAGGATTTAAAAAATTCAGCAGGATTTAAAAAACAAAACAAAACAAAAAAAACCCCATAAAACAAAAAGACAACTCGGGACATTTCTGTACAACTTTTCCCAAGCCAGCTGTAATGCACAAGAAATGGCTGCTGCTCTCCAAACTCCTCTGCCGTTTCCTACTAAAAATAACCCCCATGCAATCAATCCCGATTGTCAGACGGTGGAGACGAGGACCTCGAGAGCTGCAATTAGCACAGCAACTACAGCACAGAGCGCTCATCAATTAATGGTGCCACATTACTGCTTCATAATGAAAATAATTCAGGAAATGTGGAAAGACAGAAATGACTTCAGGAAATGTAGTTTATATGCTCATTAGATAATTATTTATATTTCTATTAGATGTGGTTTCTCAGACGAATGGTTTATTTAAGTATTTCTTAAATACATGCTCATTAAAGCTTTTCTTCTACCTGGGTCCCCCGATTCATTTCCATCTGTTTTCAATAGACAGAAAAGTTTCAGATTTAAGAGAATTGAGCCTTTTGGAACACTCTGAGAAATGGAATCACTCATTGGGGGAAAAAAGGAATTTCTGCTGTTAATGGCTCAGCCCTCAGCACCTTTCCGTGCACAGTACTTTATTTTCTTCTGGATGCCTCCGTGCTCTTCAAAAATAATTAAAATCTGAGCAGGTCTTCCTGATTCTACTTATCATCAACCCTTTGCTTTAGTCCTGGCCTTATTCTAACAGCTGCTCCAACATGACTGCACAAATAAGAAAAATCTTTGAGCAAAAACTTGTAAGGAAGTTATGAAAGCCTGCTTTGAACAAAACCACTTGTTTTGTTTGTTTGGAATAGTTCAGAACGAAGGGTCTGTGGATTTTTTTTCAACATATCACACGTACTGCCATTGCCTTAACGTGTGTGCTAACTCTCAGAAACTCAAGGTTTGCTGTTTTGTTATTTCCTAAATTGGAGTAGTTAGGAACTGTCTCCAGTTTAAAAATAAAATAAAAATAATACAGACACTAATTCTCAGAGACACTCAGCCTCAAGATTTCAGCATTTCAACAAGCGCGGGGCGGCTCTGGGAATACAGAATAACAGTAATGTTCCCATATTAGTTAGAATTCTGAGGGCCTTGCTTTGTGCTGTAAATGTGCAGTTCCTGAGTGACTGAGCATGCAGCTGGAGGAGCCGGGCTGCAGGGAAGGAGATGGAAGCTGGCAGCTGAAGGACTGGGCAACGTGAGACACACGGCGGTGCACTTTGGGGTAAAACAGTACCATCCCTGTTCTCCTCATAAAGCTGACTGCACGGACCTGAAAATGTACAGAACATCAGAAGGGCTTTCATGTTAAACAGCTCTTATTTGAATTCATACAAGTGAATTCAGGGTGGCATTCTTATCATTGTCACATTTCAGTGCTCCCAAATGCGTTCTGTAGTGAAGAGAGATTCTGAATGAAGCGGCTACTCCAAAGCAGCCACAAGTAATTAGCACTTCTATATAACATATCTTCTGTTCTCTGGCACTCAGCTACTATTCCTGGAGTGTACCTGGAGCACCGAGGGCAACGCACCCTTAAGGCAAAGCAGATGAGATTGCAATATCTGTCCCTGAGAACAGCGGCTGCCTGCCAGCTTCTGGAGCGCTGCGGGTAAGCCGTCATCTTCCTTTAACTCAGATCCCAGTTATGTTAAAGCTCAGCACTGCAGATTTATCATCTTTTTTCTTCCCTTTTTTGTGGTGTTTTTCTTTTGTTAACTGACCTTATTGTTATCTTCTTTCTGTACTTTTTCCAGAAGAAATCTGTTGTCTTCATTAGCATGTAGCGCTACTGCCTATTATAAAGCAAGTCCTTAAGTAGTAATACATATAATAATGTAAAATAAAGCAGTATAAATATATTTATAATACCTTTATAAAAATACATTTTCTGTGTGCTAGGTATATTGCCTATTTTTAATAAAACAATCACAGCTCAGTTTGGGATAGTGCAGTAAATGTTTCATCTATTTTCCAAACATTGTGGGCAGAGTGGTATCTGGAAAAAATAATTCACTAAAATATTTCTGGAATTGTTACATCTTTGTTTATAGAAGAAATCACCTTTTTCACTCAATTGAAATAAGTCTTCTGGTACAGATGAAACATAAATACTTATATTTCTCCTTATTTTCTGTTTATTTTCCTTAATAAATTAGAATCTGATTTTTTTATAAATGAAAAAAAAAAATAGACTATTTAATTTTGAGTAGTAGATCTCCCCAGATAAGCTGTTAAATCTGTTTTCCCACAACTGCAATTAACCACTTGACTGCAAACCAATTTTTGAGTTAAGTTTTTGGGTAAGAGCTTCCAGAAACAGGCATCAATAGGTAAAGCAGATTTGGCTCTTAATGGAAATATGAATGCAATGCCCCAGTCATCCCTGATCAAAAGTTTATGCTGGCAATAAACGTGAGTATATATGGGTTTTATTTACTTCTGGACCTAAATGGCATGCTAACTTTAGAAGTCTTATCTTTTTTATTTTTATTTAAGGTCGTGCTGCTGACTTCATCTGCAGGGATGGCAAGTGCTCATTCTGTCTTGTGACAATGTACCCAGGATAGATGGCCTGACTGTCAAGTGTCACGCCAAAAAGATGATCCTTTGGACATCAGCTGAGACAAACAGGTAATTCTTCATGTTCTAGATAAGGCACAGGGAGAAAATACAGTTCCTGGTTCTCATACAGTTCCTTTCATCCACACAGATGAAACTCCCACCACAAAGGGCAGACTAATAGGGATTTGGCTTTTACTCTTTCCTTGGAAGCAACTTGTACTCTCACCAGTGCAAATAGGTCATTTCAAAGCAAAGGTCATCACCCAACCACTCAGAAACAGCAGCTTTCAAAATTCCTAGAAGGTGTCTTTTGGGGATTTCACAAGAACTTTACTGGCTGGATTCCTTCAAGATAGAGTAGGTAGACGCCTGGAGGTTCAATGTAATACATCTGTACTCAGGTGTAACCGAATGTATCTTCTTGACAACTCGTGAACTGCCATTAAAACAGTTTCCAGATAATTTATCTCCTATGGACAACTCTACTTGCACTGAATAACAAAATGTTCTAGGTTAGGAAGAAAAGATGCAGTTGAGATGAGTTGGTGGCTGCACTGCCTGCCTGTTATCCTCGGGCATGAATTACAGTATTATGGTATAAAATGCACAGCTGAGAGTACATCAGCTAAAAAGTGTTAACTTTAGTAATAAAACGTATGCACGTAATTTTACTTGCTTATTGTTTATAGTCTCTGATGGAGGAAAAGAAACATCTAAGGTTACACTTGGTTATGAACTCAATGTAACACCATACTTTATGGAAGACAGACAATGTGCTTTTCCTGTCCCAGAATCATTTTGCCCTTAAGACAAGCACAGAACAATGGGACAGGGACAATATACAAGGCTGCGAGAACTGCAGAAGCTGTAGCTTGAAGAAAGCTGAAAGAGAGGGCATTTGACGATGAGAATAATAAAATATTCCAGCTGGCAAATATTAAAACATTCAGATATGATGGTAGAATTGCAATGAATTTAGATGATGCATTGTAGTAGAATTCATAAAAGACATCATGACTTCTTTGTTGAAAAAGAATCAGATGGCACAACTGGAAAGACTGTCAGTACAGAAAGGATCTTTTATAGAGAAAATGAATTTAAGCACTCACATGAAAGATGGTTGCATAAAAACAAGATATGATTGCATAGCTGGAATAGATCACACACAAAGGAGTAGTCAGCTTGTAGTTTGGCGAGGAAAGAAAAGGTGTCAGGCACGCAAAGTCAGAATGGCTGTGCTGCCTCACAATAACCTTGATGCCAACAGCTACTGGGCTGCACCAGGAAATGGAAGAAGTACAAACCCACATAATTTCAATATATAAAGAAGACAGAAAGCATATGAGTAACTTTACACATGCACGTCGTCGGTCCAAATTCAAATGGAATTACTCATGTGAATAAAACCAGTGATAGGCGTGAGCATGCACAATGTAGCCTAGATACCAGAGCAAAAGAAAGACCAACTCTTTTGTTACAAAGCCTGAAAAAATGTTTTGCAAGCTGTTTTCATATTCAGACTCAGAATGACAGGGTCCATTTTTGCCCGGCTCCTGGCTTTCTGAGAAATCCCACTCCCGGCTACTGCGGTCCAGCATTCATCCCAGGCCAGACACACTCTGGCTTGAGATCTGGATGGGTGCGTTTCTTTGTCTTTTGCTGGGTGGAAGGCATTCTGTCACTTTACGCTTTTTGAGCGTGGAAAAGTGAATGTGCGAAAGGAGGGATGTGGGGGAACGTCCCAGAGCGGAAGGGAGCGCGGAGCCGGCCCCGCTGCTGGCCTCCTGTGATGGAAGCCGCCTCCTTCCTCTCGCACTTAACCTTTCGTTTCGTACCTTCTGGCTGACGGCTGCGTGCACTGAGGCGTTTGCTGAGCATCGCTGCCCTCGCCGCCGGCCCCGTTCCCGCATCCCTCTGGGCACGGCCCCTCACCGTGTCGTCTGGATTTGGGCACAAAACAAAAGCAAAACCGCAGCATCACCGCCCCGCTTTGGCTCGGGAGCGAATCCTGCCCGGCCGGCCCGCTCTGCCTCCCCCGGAGCGTGCCCAGGGTCGGCCGTCCCTCAGCCCCCAGGCCCGGCCGGCCGCACGTCGCCCCGGCCCCGCAGCGGGAGCGGAGCCCCGGCTCGCGCCCGCCCGCAGCGGGAAGCGCTCCGCGCCGCCGCCCGGCCCCGTCCCGCCCGGCCGCGAGCCTCCTGCCGTCCCCCCCCGGCCCACCTCCCTCTCACCTCCCGAGCCGCGGCCGGAGGGAGGGCGGGAGGCGCGGCCCGGCCCGAGCCTGCGCGGCTGCGGCGCGGTGCGGGACATTCGGCCCGACGGGCGCGGCCTGGTGGCGGCTCGGGGCGGGCGGTGCGTGGTTGCGGCCGGGAATTAAGTGTTAGGGTGGGAAGGGAGGGAGAGGAGAGCGGCGGCTTTTTTCTGTTGTCAGCTCCCGGCCCTTTCAGGCAGCGTTTAGCCCGGAGCCTCTCTATAGCTTCAGAGCCGCAGAGCAGTCCTGCTGCTCGCTGGGGCTCGCGCCCTGGGCTTTCTATCTACTGCAGCCCCTGTAGTATTTTTTTTTTCTCTCCACTTCTCCTTTACAGCTACGCGAGGCTCCATAACACCGGCAGCAGTGAAACTCCCCACCCACACGGCCTCTCCTTGCCGTGTTGACGTGTTTTCCTGCCCTGCGGCGGAGGCCGCTGCCTCTTCGTTAGTGTTGTGCCCAGAAAATAGAAGTGCAAGTGCTTTTTCAAGTTACCGTAAGTGGACACCAATCAATACACCCAGCCCGGAGCGATGCAAAGCGTATGGTCTGGACTGGGTGAATAATACGAGCATCTTCAACTGCAATTTCATAGAATCGTAGAAACGGTTGAGTTGAAGGCCATCCAGTCCAGCTCCTCTGCAGTGAACAGGGACACCTACAGCTGAGTCAGGGTGCTCAGAGCCCATGTATCCCAGTATCGGAGCATTATGCTTCTCAGGTTTTTTTTATGCTATCAGGTTGTAGGAGCTGTGGAGAGGCTGATCCAGTGCTTCAGTACAGAACTTTCCCCACAGCCTCTTAATTGCCTCCTGCTAGGGATTGAGAACAAAGAAAACAACAAAAACAAACTCCAAAACATACCCACACATCTTTCATAAAAAGAAGCCTGAGATCATTAGCTAACATTTGGAAGTCCCTCAAATTAACATGCGTGAAGGACTGTGGCCAAACTCCCACTGGCTCTCATAAAAGCAGCAATCAGTCCTTCAAGCAAGATTCTCTACAGAATAACACCCAGAAGCCCCTGCAGAAGGGATTTGCCAATCTCACCATCTGACTAGATTAAAAACAGCAGTAACAATGTGATAATTGACAGGAGAAACTTCCCTGACAAGGAATGAATCAGTGTTTATTTTTAGCCTTTTCCCCCAATGCTTTATTTAAACTAAAGATTAGCTAATTATTTCCGTCATTATAGCGTCCTCACTAGCAACAGAAGGTGGCAGATCCTTCTGTCTGCTGGTTTTCTGCAGTTCTGTTGCTTCGTGTTGGCTCATCCCTTGAGGTCTGTGAGCACCCAGGATGATGCGGTTGTGCTGGTATTGAGTTTTCGCTTGGCCTCACCCCTAGATGTAGTACCCCCATGACCACTGTTTTTGTTTCCTAAGCAGTAAGTTTCCAAAAAGGCGTCTGAGAATGGAAACTGATTTTCCACGTGTCCCACCTTTGCTCCTAAGCTTTTCTTGAAAAACGAGTCAGCGGTAATCCTGTCACCGCATCTGCCCACTGCAGCCTTTTGCAATGGCAGAGCACTCCCATCCCAAAAGATAAAGTGTACAGGAGCCAGCAGTAAAACCTTATCTAGGGAAGGACAGCTCACCTGAGAAAAGAGTGGCAAAAGATTTGTCACAGGATAAATACAGGGAAGCTGGTCACACTGCCAGTGACACCATGTAATGCCTCAGTCTGCTCATAAGCTTTTAGCTCCTGCTTTGTTTCAAAGCTGGAGGCTTGATTTTTTTCTTAAAAGTTGAATTGTTCATGTTGGTTTCACTATCAGAAAACGAACCACATTTTGAATATCACTGAGGGTTATTTCACTTTTGTCTACTGTGGAACAAAGAAACATAAATGGCACCTTGTTTCATTTTTTTGCAGATCTATAGTGTGAGGATCACTACAAGAACATTTATGTTTTAGTGGTCTTTCACAGTCTCAGAGCAATTGTACCACACTAAAATCTTAGATAAACTTGTATCAGTTTTGAATGTAAAGAATGAATATGATTGGCAGCATTCAAGAGCTTGTTCTCCAGTGGAAGGTGTTTGTACATAATTTCTTTTTCATACTTCTTACTATTCCAAATAATCTTGGATCTGACTACTGGCCGTAAGCCAATTCTAGGTAAAATAGTTTATTTTTACTCTTTTACTGCATACCTGATCGTTCTTAACCAGAGTAAAATGTCCTCAGAAGAGGAAGATGATAGAAGTCATGACAAAATACCAGCTTTATATGCAAGGTACTGGGCTCTTGCAGGGTTTAGAGGAAGGTCTTCAGCTGCTGTATTGCTTGTAGGGGTAAATTGGATCTTTGGTATCTGATCACAGATATTAGTCCACGAGATGCCTCAGAATGGAACTATATCCAGAAATAAAATATCTTTCCTCTTATTTCTGCATCTCCTGAGAAGACTATTGCAGAAATGGCTGCTTGTTGGGATGAGCTCTCTGTCTTGCAGGTATTACCTGCAATGGTGACCACAGATCCCCAGATAATTTAATTTATGTTTAGAGGCAAGATGAATGTAGAAGACAAACAGGAACACTGTACAAAATGATTTAATCTGAGGGCCATCAGGCCAATCAAATCCGTGAATCATTCACAATCTTTCATTTGCATCTGCATTGCAGGAGATACAGCTAACTATAAAGGGAAACATTACAGATGGGGAGTAGGTGAGATGGTTAATAAGGTAGGTTAGTAAAATCTGCATCAAATACATGTTTGTTAAACCAGAATTTATTTTACTGGCTAGGGGCCAAGCCTAAAAAGTAAGGGTTCAGGGCAGAACTTGAACGTCTAAATCTAAACCAGAAATGGTGGAAAACCCCAGTGAGCTGAGCCTGACCTCGCACCAGGCCTCAATTCCCAAGCCAGCTAACATTTTTGTCAGGTAAACTATTCAGCCGTAGAGAGCTTCTCTGCAAGTGCCTGGATCTGCTCTGGTTCAGCAGGGCCAAGCAGCTTGGAACTGACATGGATCTCAACTCAATCAGGAACTAAAAATGATGTGTCACTCTGTGCAGGTCCCCAGAGCAGCTCAATTCAAGAAGATAATCTTCAAATCTCTCTAATGTATGCCAGTGGGACCGGGTCTTCACAAAAGTAGCTGTGCCTGTTTCCTCTAGAAGGAGTTTTTCTGTGATACAGTACAGTGGATAAAACATTTATCTGGGAGGTGGAAGGTCTGAGTTCAGGGCCCGTTCTTTGCAGATCAGAGATCTGTTGTCACATTGATGTCTGGGTGCATCAGTATAAGCCTGAAACCGGGTTCAAAGCTCCATCACTCTCATTTGTGAGCCTGGTGAGGCTCTGTACAAGAACACTCACATTAGCACTGTTCACAGCGGGGTAATGGCATGGCTTCAGAGAGGGCTGACAAGCAGCAGGTTATTGGCTGCAGTCAGTGTGCGTTGTGATGGTGGTGGTACCTCTGAGCCCAGCTGCTCACCTTCAGCACGTTCCTGCTTTGAAGCAAGCACAACTCTCGACAAAGTTACTAATTTTTAACAAAAGTGCTCATCGCAGGCCAGCAGTACTGTTTGGCAGTTGGGATGTGCTGCCATCAGGTCAGTGCATACAACCCATACCAGTCACTTGCCTACTCACTGAGGATTTCACCCATGAGTACACATTTAGGAGTATCCGCTGGATGGCACTCTTGTGCCATCGAGTATGTAAGCATTTGTGATTTTATTTGGCTGCAAATACAGACGTCTTTCAAAGACAAAGAACTGAGTTCACTTCTGTACGCTGTCATAAATTTGGAGTGACTTCATGTAAAGCATTCAATTTAATTTAGAATTGCAGCGTACCTGAGAGAAGAATGCGAACCAGATGTTGAGAAGCAGTATTTTGGTTATTGATTCTGCCGGTAAAGTTTTGAACAATTTATGAAACTTAAATTCAAAGAGCAAGCAAAGAGGTTGTGGTCAGAAAAGACCAAGGGCACACAGCTTCTTCTGTGTTGCTGGAGGCTGCACTGAGTTCTAATAACTGACCCCGTTGCTTTTACATGCCAGTGGTTTTTACTCTTAAACCTGCTGTATCATACGCACCATTCCATAAAGATGGAAGAAAAATCTTTTATGGCTGGCTGTAAAACAAGAAGCTACCTTAATTCCAAAAGTCAACATTTTAAATCGTTGTTTTAAAGTTTCTAGTTTCTGTTTGGAGAATCTTTCAATATTTTCTAATCCTAAATACTAGGGTTTTATTTTGAAACATTTAAAAAATGTCTTGATTATTTTCACATTATTATTTTTTTTAATTAAAAATAAATTCTAGCTTAACAAGAATTCAAATTTTGGATTAAATCTGCATTTTTTAAAAGTTGTGATTATCACAGAACTCCGGTGAAATAGAGTCATAGCCACAAGAACTCTTTAATAAAAAAGATAACACGTTTGGCTTAGCTTACTGTACATGTGTTGTGTATCAATGCAGGGCACGGAAGAATACCAGGCATTTTCTCTAAATGAAACATTTGAAGATCAGGGAAATGTCTTCATGAAATTTGTGCTTCTGCTTCTTTTCTCTTGATCCTCTCTTTCCCCTATAAAGATTTCCAGTTCTCCCAAATCTGAATCTGTACACCACTCTAAATATCAGGAATTCTGGTAAGTTCAAGTGCTCTTTCAGCAAAGTCACTTTCTCCACTTCCGTTTCCTCTAGAACCAGTGAAAGACCAGTATTTAACATCAGTTGGACCACTTTCCATTTTGGAGCTGGTAGCATCTCTCTGCTTTTGGTAAGGGAAGGAAGTGCCAAGGAGGCGTTGAGTCACCATCCCTGGATGTGTTTAAAAACCATTTGGGTGTGGTGCTCAGGGACATGATTTAGCAGAGGATTGTTAGGGTAGTATGGTTAGGTTGCAGTTGGACTTCTGATCTTCAAGATCTTTTCCAACCTGAGGAATTCTATGATTCCATTTGTAGCACAAGAATAATACCACGCTAATTTTGTGGTGCTTGGCAGATTTCCCTTGCCTGTGCTGAGTGTGCTCAGAGGGAAACCTGGCAGGATTCAGGTAAGCATATTGAAGGACACCTATCCTGCCCTCTCTAGTTTTGGCTTGTTCTGGGAGTCTCCATGGTCCTAGCACAATTTGGTCAGTCTGGGAAGATACTATAAATTAAGGAATGGCTTTTATGGCTGAACAACTCAGCAACCTGAATCTGTTCAGAGAACAGGATGGAAACTTCCAACACTTCTGCCCTTCCATCTCTCCACTTAATGCTGGGACATGCATCATCCACAGTTGATAGGGTGATCTACAATTACCCTATAAAGAACATGCATCTCCCCTCACTTTCTTTATGTTCTGTTTCCATTTATTGAAGAGCTGGTAGTTAGCTTTTTTTAAAAAGATTTTTTTTTTTAATGGTAATACCGTAGGGTTATGTTCTTATTTATGGTTTCTTTGCACTAGATATTGTAGATACTGGTAGCTGAGAGAGATGCTCTGTCACAGAGAGCTTACAAGTTCCAGGTAGCACAAGTGGAGGACTGGGGGACAGAGAAATCAAGCAGTTTGCCCAAGGTCACATGCTAAATCCGTGGCAGTGCTAATCTACCCAATCGGATTATCTAATGCATGTAGGCACCAAGGCATGTTCTGGTGTATGTGTGAACCACAGGAATGCTGAAACTGGGGAAGTTCATTTCAGGTTAAAAAAAAAAAAAAAAAAAGAGAGAGAGAGAGTAATAAAGAAAGAAAGGATAAGAAAGGGATGCTTGGCACTACTGGAAGACTTGCAAGAAATTTTCACTTTTCCATTCTTTGAATACTTTGGAAATGCATAAACTCTTGGGATCTGCATTTTAAAATGTTGTTGCAAACTGGAATAACATCTGTTAAATGCAGCCAAGAAACATCTGGTTTTCCCTTCCCAGAACCCTGTGCTGAGGCAGCCGTTTTCCTGTCAGCTATGACGAGGAGTGAAATCAGTTCAATAGGTCAGTCTGTTCTCTCTATTGCTGAGTGCTACGTTTCCTAATAAAACAATGGCCAATAATGAGAGTGGTAAAGGGAAAAAGATTCTCTGTAATGTACATATTAGTCTACAAAGCCAAACAACAAACAAACCAAAGTAATGTTTAGCTTCAGACTGAGTTAAATAACTGGTAAGAGCAGAGCCATCAAGCATTAGAAAGAGCACCAATGTTTGTATGGAACTGCAAGATTTAATCAAGTGATGGTCTATCATTCATCAGTGGGAATAATAGTGTGAAAATCTCACACTGGTAGTTGCTGGGCTTTGGATTTGGCTCTCTCCAGTGCAATGGCTTAGGGGAAGCTGGTCACCAGCATGCAGTGTATTCATTGCAAAGCTGTCGTAACTCTCAACTCTTGTCTGAGAGGTGCTGGCAGAGCAGTAGCTGCAGAGTCAGAGATGGTCAATGCCTTGTATCACCGTGCCTTCAAGAACTGCTCATTTCAGTGGAATCAAACTGAGTACAGCTGAGGGGCAAAACACAAGAGGAGTTCAAAGGCATCAAGTAGAGAGGACCCTAAGCGTTTATGTAGGCATCAGTTCTTACATAATTCAGCTCTTCGTGCTTTGACAATGCCTTGGACAAACAAATGTTACTGAGAATTGCATCATTTCCCCCTTCATCTTTAAAAATTGAACCAAGACTCATAAAGGCATTTAGATGCTTGAGCTTACCCTGAAATCTTCAGACATTAAGAGCGTAAATAATTTTGAAAGCATGTGCTGAGATCTGATATTTAATTTCCAAGGAAAATCTGTATCATTCAGCTATTAGATGAGGTGGCAGAACCCTCTGTATTCTTACTGAGAATTCTTGAAAAGCTGGAAAAAGAAATTCTGTGACCTTCTGCTATGAGCATTTTGGTGAGGCGAAATGTCAATGCTTTTGGTCACTGGAGCCATATTTCTTGTAATGTAATTTGCTACCACTCACTTGTCTGAAAACTAGTTGGGAATAGATTTTTTTTATTTTTTCTTTTTTTCTCTCAATTGTGACTTTTTCCCTTCATTGTCTCTGTAATTATAATACCAAGGAAATGAGTCCTAATCTGAGTTTCCAAAATGGAATTAGAGATGCAGTGCTTTCTGTGGCAGGGCCTTGCAAAGTGCTGATGGTGTGAATTAGCTCCTGGGGTCAGGCTTGTGTGCATAGAGGAAACTTGCTAAAGGCCGATAGAGTGCAGGAAGGGAAAAGGGAGTTGTACAGCCTGTGGGCAGTTGCTAGCAGCTTCCTGATACTATTTACTTGGGGAAACCTTTTGTTTCCTTTAGAGCATTGTTTGTCTTTGCTCTCTCCATCACCAGGGTTGAGTGTCTGCATTGTTCTTGTGTCTGTTGTACATTGCCCTGCACTCTGATTCAGTCTGATACTGAAGTGACTGTTCCCCAGCCAGTCTGTTGTTATCTAAAATCACACAGTGATATGGCCCACTCATACCCCAACTAAACTGCAGCCAAATGCATTCTTTAATTAAATTAAAATCTGGTATGACTGCCAAGACTGTGCTGTTGTACTTCATGAATAGCAAGAAAGGGCTACAATACATGCATATGGAAAATGCTGTTGACAATGAATAGGTGGGAATGGAATGTACCAGTTTACTCTGTGATCCATGGGTTTGTAGCCTGTTTTGCTCAATGTTGTCTCCATCTGTTCTCTTTAGCCTCACCTGATTTTTGTATTTTGTATTCGGCACACATGCATGTATCTCAGCACAGTTAGGGTTGTGTGCTTTGCATATCAGTGTTCAGAATTGCTGTGTTTTATAGAATCACACTCGACGTTTATTGAAGAACCAGTGTTAATTACAGAAGAAATCTTACATGCTGTGAATGTTTCTACACAGCCTGTGTTCCAACTTAGTCTCGCTGGTTGATTTCGGATTTTCTCTTATCTGGAGCTTTATGTAGGAACGAGGGACATCTAGTGGCTCAGTGGAATACAGCAAATGTAGATGGGCTCATGAAGGTGTGTCGGCAAAGCAGTCAATACAGCGAATATCGAAGATCTTCCCAGTGCTCGAAGTGCAATTTGAATATATTAAATGACTTTATCTTAGATTATAATATTATAGGATTCGTTTTATTTTTGGGTTTCTGTCTTCTTGTGAAAAGATGAGCAGATTCTGAAATGTATGTAGGTTAAAATGTATTTGCTACCTATTTTGAGGAGGACACATTTTCATTCACTAAAAGAAGCTGGGTAATGGGATGGATGAACAACAGACCCTACATAACTTTTTTTCTTTTTTAAAACAAATGAACATGATCAATTTATGCATGGTAATTCAGGATGTGATTAATTAGACCAGGTGATAACTGATCTCTTACAATGACCAAGAACTGCCAGAAAACTGGCTAAATGGATAATTTTTCTTTTTCTGCAATGCTTTGTCTGTTTTAATATGTAATTAATTATTTACTTTAGCAGGAAGCCCAGTCTGACTCATGTTTTTCTTTTCCCTCCTTTATCTTTAATCAGTAACTATTTGTTATTTAATTACTTTTGTTGCAAAAGATGAGATGCACATCTTTAGAGAAGCAAGAATATCTATATCATGTTATAAGCTCTTTTTGTATTGTGAGCCTCTTTGTTTTAGGTTTATTATTCTGTCTTTTTGTATTGAGTGCTGAAAGTCCACACTGACCTGAATGATGTCAATCTGTTTTATGGCTCAGTCCAGGAACAGTTCTTGACCTTTCCTGAAATAACTAAAATTGAGAGACCAACATCCAATAGTCAAGGGCTGTTGGCTCAGAACGTCTCTCACTCCTATCCCACCCTCACAAAACAACCAGTTTAATTTACACAAGAGGAGGTTAGAGTTGGCAGCAACATGACAAAAAGATGCAGCCTGTATATAAAGAGGGAAGCTTCTCTACAGATGAGAGCAAATGATTGCCAAATGTTAAGACAAATAGTCTGGAGAGAGCAACAGGAGGCATTCTGTCTCACCTGAAATGCTGATAAAACCTGGAAGCCATAGGAGTGTGATCAGACTAAAAAAACCTAAACTAATCACTAGCTATTTTGCAAAGATGTGTAACTCAAGAGGCTTTTTCTAAGGATAAGAAGTGATGACTAAGAAAATCTGTTGCTAAACAAGTGGTTTTTGTTTTTGTCTTCCCTTTTTGCTCTGAACAGGCAATGTAGAAGCTTGTAGGCCATGGTAAAACTAAGAAAATCAGCATGAAGCAAGCAGAGAATTCTCCCATTCTGATGGCCCACATCTTACACTGAGGTTCAGAAAAGGATTCCCGACCCATCTATGTGTCTTTAAAATGATACAGGGGCAGTTATCTAAGCACTGCTCAAGATTGTGTCAGGACCTTGGAACCCAGAGACGAGTCCACTGATTCAGGCTGATGTGGAATAGGGTTGAGTTTATGGAATTCATTGGTTCATCAAGGCTCACTGGAAGTGAGGACTTTATTTTTGGGATTAACAAGTAGCAAACATACCAAGAAATTGATAGCTTCTGCATTATTAAGATTAATGGGGGCATTTCTTTGGACAAAGGTGTAAGCAACCTTCATTATTGTGATACAAATCCTAGCTTTAAACTCCTGAGGCAGTAGTGCACTAGAATGTACAAGGTTACATTGCTGGGGTCCCACTTGTCTCCAGATTTTTCAACAATACTTAATTGGACAGAGACACTACAATGAAAAGAGCTTCTAGAAAGATTTTACTGTTTGGGCCTTTAGCAATTGCTGTATTTTGGATGTGAACATAGATATACCAAAACCCTACTTCTGGCAACATTCAGACTGCATTTACCAGTATTAGGGAAAATTTAACCAAATTCATTCTAGCTGACAAATCATTCTGTCTTTCTATTCCAGACATTTCTGGGAAAGAATGGCAAAGCTGAAATATACTTGACCAAATGAAATACCTGATGCAAGTGGGATCTATTATCAGAGTGAAGAAAAAGAAGCGGGCTGGTGTTTTAATGAATGTTTGTTGAATGGGAAGGTAAGGGCTTCTTAAATCTCTACCTTTGCCACTGCAAGGTTGTGGTTACAATCTTACCACTTTGTTGATTGATCGGGCAGTACAAAAAAAAGTAAATCTGAAGTTACATAAAATTCTGCCTGGGTAATTTTGCTTGTGAAGAGATTTTGGAAAATTTAACAATCCTGTACTGGCCCAGGCTTAGGTGAAAAGAGAGTGTACTTTTGGGATAGGTTAGAATTTGCCTTTCATGGACTGTGAGTGAAAATGGTAAATGGGAGAGCTGAGATCCAAGACCTGACATCCCTCAAGCATAAGATCTCTTACTGTGCTGGAAATCAGCCTGGAATTCCTCTGCTTTTGCTTCTGCTTTTGTTGGAGTGCCAACAGCAAAAAAAAAACTGTGGCTGCTAAACTCAGGTTTCCCCTCCTGCTGCCCTACTGCTTTGACTTAGGCAGTGATGGGTACATATTTCTAACTAGTACAGACAAATACAAATTTCCTTTAACTAATCTTCCTCTGGCAAGGTGAGTCATCATACAGAAAAAGCTGTTTCTGCTTGTTCTCTGTTCCGATCACAGTCCAGTCCAAGCTCCAAAAAAGGCCAAGCCAGTAGCAACAATTCTGACCCTCTTTGTTCTCTCATAGTACCTGGGGGAAAGCTGGAGAGGCGTCTGTAGCTGCAAGCTTTCTGCAGGGAATGATCTTCCTTGGAAATTACTTTGAAAGAAGCTGGCAAGGATCCTGGCAAGAACTTGGTCTTTTCTGTCCATGTTTCCCCATCTGTCAAAACATGGCATAAGCCTTCCCTCATTCACAACATTATTGTGAGGATTCATCAGTTAACATGTTTACATCACTGAATGGGATTTCCTGTTCCAGATCACCTAGACTTTAGTTCCTAGGAACACAAATGCATCTCACCATTCTTAAAGACCTTTTCTCATACCCAAATTCTTCTTTGCTTTCTGCTACTGCGAAATGCAGTTGATGCTAAAGTTGAACTTGGACACCTGAAAGTAATTTCTACAGTCAGACTGAATTTTCCTGAGCAATGAAGTAATCAGCAAAGGAAAAGTAATGCTTCAATTTCTGATTTTCCTTTTCATTACTGTTGGAAATGATTTATTCATCACTATGCTTGTGACTAAAATTTCTCAGGACTTTTCTGACTCCTTGGTGTTATCATGAGAAACAATCTTAATGTATGTAATGAGGAACAATCTTAGCATATATTTATGAAACACATTTCATTTGAGAGATCTCTCAGAGGATTAATTGTGATCTAAAGTGAAGTTATCTATAAATATAACTCCACTGCAAATACCAAATGTGTCTGTTTTGTATGCTGCTGGAGTCCTACCACTTGCCACAAAAAGGCAACTGTGTCTGGAACAGAACAGAGCAGAAGACCAAAATATTTCCAGTACCTCAGATACAAAGTGTTCTATGCAACTGAAATTGCACAGGCAACCTAAGAAAGCAAAATGATCTGCAAGCATCTGTAATTAACTTCATGACATAGCTATCAGTGTATTTTTGGTAAATTTATTTTAGAATGTCAGCTACCCAAATCTGGAGGTGATGACAAAAGTTGTAGTCTTGATGCTTTCTGATCACCCAAGTTATCCTCTCACACACATCCTACCCTGGCCTGTGAAACATGCCATTATTTTCTCTTTCCCTGCCACGATCCCTCTGCATCTTACTTTCTCTCTTACTGCCTTCTATAAAACTAAACTCCTGTTTTGTTTTGTTTTTTTTTTCATTTCCACACATTGTAATTTCTTCCCATCTTTTTTCCCAAACTCTGAGCTACTTCTCCATCCAACTATCAAGCACTGTATGTTAACATAGGGGAAAACCCACAGTCTCACATAGGCAAAGAGAAACATGAATTACACTTCATATGAACTTTACAGAGAAAGTTCTCAAACCCTTCAACAAGGTGCCCAGTGAAACTGGAAGTTTCTGCCCTAGAGAGATTCACAGGCAGACTGAACAAGGCCCTTTGCAACCTGATCTAACTCCAAAGTTAGTCCTGTTTCAAGCAGGGAAAGGATTAGATGATCTGCAAAGGGTCCTTCTCATCAAAATTATTTTGTGATTCCATAATTCTAACTTGAAGGAAAATAGGGAAAAGAAGTAAAAATTTAAGAGAAAGATGGTTTTCTGGCAAGAGAAAAAAGAAATACCACAAAACAAAACAGAACCACGCAGAGTTGGTCTGCTTTTCATTTTGCTTGCACTGAAGTAATTCAGGATGAAATCAGATGAATGTTAAAATTAGCAGAGAACCAAGAAGAGAATCAATACCAACATACCTGTGGTTACTTAAGGCTTGCTTTATCTGCCTGAACTTTAGGCCATGGGAGCAGAGCAGGGGAATTCTCAAACTCTGCAGAAGTAAATGTATTAGTGATTTTAATCCTCACCCCTCGATCTCCTAAATAAGAAGTCATTATGACTGCAATTTTCGATGTACCCCATCTTCACTGTGCAGGACAACGAAGGATGATTAAAACTTTAATCAGAACTAGCACTAATTAGAAAAGTTCCTGGATTCTTGATGAAGAAAACAGTTTTGTGTTCCCGTTTATTTCCCTATTACTGTTTCTAAAACATAGAACCCCCAAAGGTAAGCTGTTAAACCAAAAGCCATTGCAGGAGCTTGAAAATGACAGTGACCTACAGTGGGTGATCTTAATGCTGAATATGGAATTAATTGCATGAAAATATCACAGGAATTTTTAAACACAAAAAAGGAAATCTGAAAGGCAAGTGAAATGGCCTAACAGAATATCTAGCAATTCCACACACAACTTAAAAATGTTGTGTACTTAAGAATGTAGTAAATTTTTCCCTGATAGTGTGTTGTGAGGCTATAACAGAAAGAAAAGTATCCTGGCAACATGTGAAAATAATTCTATATTAGTCACTTGATAAAACTGGACAAAACAGATAAGTTTTCAGGCATGCAGGTGCTTCTTTAGGTCTGAACTAGAAACTGCTTATTTCAAAGATAAATTAAGCTTAAGAACAATTGTGTCAAGGTAGGACATCTGCTTTGCTTTGAGTGTTTACTAATTTCTTTTTTAAAGGCTTGGGAAGTAAATGACCTGGGAAATAAATTAATAGCAATACGGTCCTGTAGATGGGTAATTATTTCTGAAGTAAGCTTGCAATTAGAAAGGGACCTAAGGAGTAAAACTTATCCCAGCATATCTGCATAAAATCACATTGACTTCCCATGAGATTTGCAAGCCTTTTTGCTTACATTCCTTTAGAAAATGTTAGTTGGAGTCCTAAGTCACTTAAGTGCTTTAGATGATATTATTTTCACTGGAAAAGGCAATAAAGAAGTCAGGGTAGTGCCTAGGAGTGGATGCTCTTGAGTCTGCTGGTTATGCAATCCAAGCAGTGGCTGTGGGAGCTGACTGTGTGCAAATCTTTGTGTTTAGCAAGGTCAGGGCTTGAGATGTCATATACACACAGACCATAGAGGGAACTGAGCAGTGCTCTAAGGTGGCTCATCTGTAAAGCCTCTTTCAGGCTACTCCTAGTAATGAGGTAAACATTGTTTTTCTAATTTCTCACTTCTATTTACTGAAACTGTTTTGAGAGAGCGGGTTGGAAAGGCAAAGCAGGAATGTAATTCTCTGTTATTGGCCATTCAGGGGTTTTGAAGGTGTTACTTTTTCAATCACATACAACAGTTTCCTTGTTTTCACAATGAGTACATGATATCATATCCTGAGCCCTTCCCTTTTCGTGCAGCTCTGCAAAGCAAGAGGAGGAGTCCAGCCCTGGCCAGCGTTGCCCTGCTCAGAACACTGGAGCTGCTGCTGCCATCCCCTGCCTGCTGCTCCCCGGGGAACCACGGCTCTGGGACAGGCTTCCTTGGCACCGTGAGTATCAGCTATGAAAGCAGACAGTCTAAGTAGCTTGTGAGGTGGCACTGTAGAATGATCACCTCTCTGTTTGTGTATGTGTGCAGTCAGTGACACAAACACACGTGAAACGAGAAGGAAAAGCTGTTTCCTGGCCCAGCTGGAGTGAGAAAAAGGAGAGCAGAAATGGGGACGGTTCTTGGGGTACAGGGACTGGCTTACAATAGGGGCAGGGTGCAGGAATAGGACGAGGTGCATGCACCCTGTGAGCCAGCCTGCCAGCCTGGTGTAGGCAGAAAAGAAAAAAACAGCTGCTGAAATTTATGCAGAAGAAGCTTCAGAGTGAGCACGTGGCATTGTGTTAGTGCTAGATGACAAGCACCTCTTGTTTATTCTTAATCTGGTTTGCCTTAATGAATGCAGTAGAGGTAGCTAGTAATAAATGATATATGAAGAGAATAAACGAACCAGTTTTCTGTACTGGTCTCCACTCATCCTTAGGGCATACAGGCCAAGTAAACGTATGAATAGTGAGTCATTGATTCCTTTTAATACAGCTTCATAAGCCTTGTTGTTGTGGTTACTTCGGCACTTCTCCATCTTGGCCTTTTAGCTCTGCTATGCAGAAAGAATGGAAGACTAAATGGAAAGGTTCTGCCACTACTGGTGGAGGGCCCAAGGCTTTGTCTGGATGTCTCTGCTGTGCTGAGTAGAGATGTATTAGCTATATTAAGTATATATTTATGATTACAGTGTATGAGTAGCTTGGTATGTTCTGGAATTTACATTGTAGAGATGTTATAAGAAAAGCAAATGATCCACTTACATTTATATTTACTAAATGATCTTGTACAAGTTATTTCTTAATCTGGAAGATTGCTTTTAAAGGGATGGAAACCCCAAGGGGCACTCGTCCGTACCAGAGTAACAAAACAGTGTCATTCCAGAGCTTGGTGAGAAGCTTAAGATAATGGTTTACCTACAGGCCTCGGTCTGTTTTGACTGGAACCTACAGAGAGCATCAGTGATGTTTAGTAATATAAAAAATAATAACAACTAGCTTTAGAAAAGTGCAAATGAGCTGCATCCTTTCCCCAAACAGTCTTTGGTACAAGCAGCCTTATGAGAAATGTGTATCTTGTGAATATATCGTTGATTGCACTACACTATCCGTTTCTCCTTTGCTCATTGTGGGTTTGACTGGTTCATTTCTGGGGTCACAGAACAACAATTGTTGCCTTGCATCACCTCAGCTGCATTGAGCTTGCTGGGAATGGAAGGTATACAGTTCTCTTCAGTTAGAAGTTGCTGGATCCTCTTCTGTTGCAGACATATTTAATTTTGGAACAGAACAAACTTGCCTTTTTCTCACGATAGTCATTGTAAGAGTAAAAGGTTGTTAGGGTCATGATGCCCTGGGACTGCAATACACAACGCGCTTTGAGCTCCCTGCCTGCAGAATGGCCTGTGCCAGGTGCAGTTAAACCCAGCTCAGCTGCCCAACAGACTTCACATCACATTTTGTTAATGCTTACCAGCTAGTAGTTGGCTTGTGCTCCTCAACACAGAGGTTTCTTAACTCTTTTGTTTCAAAAAACATCACAGCAGATACTCACATCGCCATATAATTGTTTTTTTCTTGAATTCACTGAAACTTTCATTTCAATGTTTTGTGGCAGTGGATTCAGCAACAATGTGTTTTCTCTAAGAAACGTGACTTCCTTTCTCTAGATTTAAATCTTCTGCCTTTTGCTTCCATTAATGCAAATCTACTTCTGGATCATAAGAGAAAAAAGCCACCTTTGTCTTTAATTGAAGAGAGAATCATATATTTTTCTTCTTAGTTGTAGTTTAGTCAGTGTCTAGTTTGTTTGCATGCTTTTTATTTTCAATTTATAAACTTTTCAAGGGCTTCACCCACAGTTTTTCCTGTTGCTAATTATTTTGTTGTCATGCTTAAAAAATTCAGAGATGAAAGAGAAGTTGAGCTTCCTTTATAGAAACCACCCAGCTCTGCTCCTGTATCCTGTTTATAAATGTGTTTAATAATAAATTTTCCACCACCTTACATCCAAGAACTTTTAGGTGTGCAGCAAACATTTAATTAATCTCACAAAGAACGTGTGAGGTAGGTTCCCTCATTTTACAGGTGAGATGGAGAGTGAGGTAGTTAAATTAAGTGACTTGACTAATATCACACTGTGAGTCAGTGCTAATGCTGAAAATAGAATTTATGTCTTCAGGTTCCCTGCCCCATGCTTTAATCATCATACCAGACTTGACTCTAAAGTTGAACAAATTCCTTGAATTATTAAAATAAATATTCCCAGTTCCATGTGGGATTATTATGTTTTACTTCATGTAAACAACTGAAACATTTGCAAAAGTCTTCCATGCTTAGGACTCTTTTAGTCTTTTTTGTTCAGATGTCGCTTCAGCTATCAGCTGCATATATTTTGCCAAAAAAAAAAAAAAAGATAAGGAACACACTTAAACACACTCATTGATGTGAATGCAGCAGTGCTGTTGTTCATACTCTCAACAGCAGATCCACTTAATAATATCTATATCTTCAGTAAATGCAGCATTGTAAAGGTATTGCCCCACAGAAAGAAGAGTGACTGCTACTTATGCTGTCACGGGTGAATGAAAATGTAGCCTGAAGCACAAAATAGCAACTGCATCTACAGAAAAACCTGCTTAGACACGCAATTCTGAACTGTATCATCTCTGAATAAACTGGTGCATAAAGATGTACAATTCTTGAAAACTTGTTTGAACAAATAGTACCCATGTTCAGGCTAATCTCATGCTCCAACAACTTTATAGCTTTTTGAGCGTAGTCCATGCTTTTGTTTGTGTTGATGGGACATAAAATATTTTTTTCCAATCCTCACTGTCGTACCTGTTTGATGGTATTCTTCGGTACAGGGAAGAATAAGCTGCCCAGGAATATGTACTTGGGCATAAGGCAGAGGCCCAGAAGAGGTAACAGAGCAATACTGTCACCATCCCTTGTTCCCTATTAAACCTAAGTATGGACACAGCTGACTTTTACACAGACTTACAGAGTACTTTGTATCACGTATTACTTTTGCTACATGTGAGACAAGCAGCAGAAGGCTGTGGCCATCTCCTAGATTTCTGTAGGGACTTTTGCTGTGTGTAGCAAGTGGGGCATTGCTGGGCAAAGAGCCTTTCAACTTAACTGCAATTTAACAACAAAATACCTTAAAAATTCAACCACTTAATTTTTGAATGCAAATTACATTCCTAGGTGTTAAATCAGCTGTATTTATAGGTGTCATGCTGTATTTATAGAAACAACTCCAAAGTAGTGTGATGTATTGTAAAGAAGTGAGAGTCACTTCCTGACTACTTGGCTGGAGTTAAGCAGAAGGTTCCAGGTAACAAGCCATGGGAATATGTTCCAGAAGGCCATCCTGTCTCCTCTCCAGGGTCATGTGTTCCCTTTGGGTTTACCCTCTCTTATCATTTGGGCTCTGCTACCAGTGGCCAGGTGTCACTAGTCAGTATTGCTCCACTTTTGCTTTCCATTTCTGTTTGAAAAAAAAAGGTGTTTTTCTTACAGACTTTGTAAAACAGCCTGGTGGAAAGGGATGAGCAGTTTGTGAAAGTACTGTGCCCATCTACCAGGTCTCAGAGATGGCGCCTTTCCAAGGGGTTGTTGAAAACTAGGTATGCATTGCCTGAACTGTCTGGTAGAAGAGACCTCTGTGACTTTCATAGACTTTGAAACCAAACTTAAAAAAGCAACCCAAACTATTGAAAATATTTATCTGGCTGCTCACTCGTGTTCCCTTTTATCGATAGTTCCTATGACTAAACCACCAAGTGTAATGGTAATAATGTCTGAGGAACTGCAAATGCAAACGAAACACTAGCTAATATTTGGGGAAAATGAGGCTTGAAACTGCAGTGTGCCTAGGTGTTCTCTTCCAGGTTGGGAATAGAAAGAAGTCTTTGTGGTGTGTCTGAGCAAAACAAAACCAGCTGAAATTAAATACATGACTTTAGACAGCAAGCCAGCCTGTATGACTGAGTGGACATCATGGCATTTTGCATGTTAAGTTCACGGATCTGCTTTCAGTGAAAACCTCCTTGTGCCCTGCCTATCTCAGTAATCTCATCCCTGCTCTTTAATAGGCCGATCAGCCTCCTTCTGCTGATTCAGCACAGAAAGGAAACATGTTAGGAATGTCAGTTCTTTGCAGTGGTGGGGATTATACTCATGGCAACAGGCTATGTTTATGAAAAATATATAACTTCTTTCTTCATTGCCCATAAAGCAGTGAGAAGGAAACTGAGGCACAGCCATACAGCTACTCTGAAGAGTTAATACCATAAATACCTTATGTACACTTACAGAACTGAGAAAGAATTTGTGACAGTATGTTTCTTACACATTAGAACCAGCAAATGGAAAGAAAGTGAAAAGAAATGCATACTGAGGGGGTTAACCCATTTAATCACATTATAGAAATAAAATGAATGGTACAAGGCCAAAGAATGCCACAAGTGACAGAAAAAAATCCAGTATCAGTTACCTTAATTGGACTAATTATAAAAGGTGGAGTTAGCAATGCAGGCAAGGTACATTTTTCCAACATTCCTTATTATGTGTTAATCATGGCACTGTAAAGATCCAAATATCTTGGATCGTGTAACTTATTAAATACCACTTGCATGTTTCTTGCTGGAGCTCGGTGCAGCGAGGCAAGTACAAGCTGAAACAGTACAAATGGGGAAGGACTTCTTTCTTTATTAAAACAAGCAGTTTCTGCTGAAACTAGTATTGCTTGAGGACCAGCTTGTGGTTCCAAGTGTCTTTCAGTGCTGACAGCTGAAGACAGTAGCTCTGGGCCAGGAGTTAATGTTTGCTCCTTGCTCTAATGGGCGGATGTGTTTAATTAACCTTTGTTTCTGCAGAAGCAGACTTTCTGGCAAGCTGTAGGAATGCTAAAGAAGGGAAATCTAAACAGCAGCAAACCCAGGCA